GTTGGCGAGGTGAATTTTTACCTTTGGCCAGGGAGCAGGAAGGCAGCTGGGCAGGAGAACGGAGAAGCTGTGAGCTTCCTCCCCATCCTTTGGAAAGGTCTCGCAGTAACCCCCAAATGATCCCTCATCTGAACTGGCCCCTGGAGTTGGCAGCAGGCACTGAACCTAGCGCTCGAGCTTGGTACAGATTGCTGCCTTGCTCTTCTGGTCATGTGTCTGAACTAGCACGAAGCACCCTTGTGATTGATAACAGGCGGGCTGTGACCCTAGGTCAGTCCTGCGCTCAGCACTGCTCTGCTCAATGCCTGCACTAACCCGGCTGCTAGCCGCAGAACCCCAGTCCTCGTGTGAAAAAGCTGCGGGTCTTCCAGCTTGTGCAGAACACCCCACAGTGCATCTCCCTGTCCTGGAGCAATGGCATTGTGCTTTGCTCATGTGCCACCGAGCCCACTGCTGGCAAAGCCAGACCCTTCCCCCAGTACAAACCCTGTTCACACCGGGACAGCTAATCCCAGTTTGCAAGTGGGATGAGCCATCCTGGTGCACAGGGTTTTGCACAAATATTTTATATCCCGGAGCTGGTAAAACCTTAATCTGGGAAGTGTCTGCCCAGGCCCCTGATGAGGGGTAGCCCTGTCCTGGCAGCAGGCTATCTTGGTCAGTCTTTGAAACAGTTCACATGCTGTTGCCCTGCTCTGCAACCCAGTTCTCTGGGGATGTGCGGTGCACTGATGATGCCTAGCTCAGCACTGCTCCAGTCTGGCACTTGGAGAGCAATGGGTGAATGACATGCTTTGGAAGGGTGTCCTGCCATTAGCTACCTGCTGGCGCCGTCTCCCACTGTGTGTTCCCAGCCCCATTACAACACATATGCACAGGTGTACGTGCCATTGCCAGCTCGAGGGGTGTGTGTGTGTGCATCAGGGTGGTGCATACCTGGAGAATGCTGCTTCCTACCTCACCCCGACTTTTGTATCCCCATCCTTGCCCAGCCCTTTGACCATGTTTGACCCTAGCGTGGATTTCAAGTTGGATGAGACGATGGATGAAGCGAGGCACATTGAGGAGCTTTTACAGTGGCCAGTTGACAATCAGTGGATCCCTCATGCCCAGTCGTGACATATGACAGGCCTTTGGCCCATGGGGATGAACCTTGTTGGGGATAGGGAGAGCTTCTGGGCATAAGCTGCATCATCCTTAACATAGTTTCTCATGCTAATGGTGGTTTGTCTGTGATGCCCCGGTCCCCTCCTGGCTCCAACCAGACACCATCTCCTCACACCACACCTTGCAGCTGGCTATGGTTAGAGTTCACCCCAATTCCCTGTCCTGAAACTGGTCTGGCAGCCCCATAGCACTGCAAGGCAAGGGCTCTGGACTCTCTCTCCTTCCCTCGGTACTTGTCTGCAATCAGTCTCAGCGAGTGAGAAGTGACAGGGGTAGAAGTAAAGAAGTGTCAAGCCCAGGTTGGCCTAAACTCCAGTGCTGGGCAGGCACCCATAGGGGCTACAGGGTCCTGCCCAACTAGGGGTGGGGACCAGTGCAACTCTGCTTCCTCTCTTTCCTCCCCCCCCTCACAGCACACAGGCCTTGTACCCCCCATAACAGAGGTGGACGCTCTCCTCCCATTACCCAGAGCCTTTGGGTAGCTCGTAGCCACACTTCTTTTTGAGGACCAGGAAATCAAGTATATTTGTTTAAAAATAAAGGCATGATAACTCCACCACCCAGGCTGCTCATGGAAGCGTGCGGGGATCCTGACTTCCTGACCTCAGCACAACAGGCTTTAGCCAGACAAAGACAGTCTACTCAAGGCTGAGCCTGATGTTGTTATACAGCCCCTAAGCAAGCGTGCAGCTCCCTCCCCAACAGCCAGGCTTGTGGAACACCCCAACCCAGACCAAGAGCAGTCTCCTATGGCCAGACACCCAGGTGCACAAGCACCTCACCAGGCAGTGCTGTTGTGCCCATGGCACAGCTGGGGCACAGAGACATGGAAATATAAAGGGATGTGACCAGGATCACACAGGAAGTCCCTAGCAGAGCCAGGTCCAGGTGCCAGCTAGGGACATGGGGCCAGAACCCCATCCTCATCAATAAATTAAGTGACTGCAGCATTGATGCCTGCACAGTTGAATGGGTAAAAAATTGGCTGATAGGGCGCACCCAGAGAGTAGGGGTGGATGGGTTGTACTCATCCTGGCGAGATGTGAGCAGTGGGGTACCCCAGGGCTCAGTCCTTGGGCCCGCACTGTTTAACGTCTTCATCAGCGACTTGGACGAGGGGATGGAAAGCACGCTGTCCAAGTTTGCTGATGACACTAAGATGTGGGGCAAGGAGGACACACTTGAAGGGAGAGAGAGGCTGCAACTAGATTTAGACAGACTACAAAAGTGGGCAGACAAGAATAGGATGGGGTTCAGCGTAGACAAATGCAGGGTGCTGCACCTTGGGAGAAGGAATCCACAGCATACATACAGGCTGGGGAGTTCCCTTCTTGAAAGCACAGAGGTGGAAAGGGATCTTGGAGTCATTATTGACTCCAAGATG